AAGAACAAATTTAAGATGGATAGAGAATGAGACAAAGAGGGCATTCATGAAAGGATTAGGAAGGGGGCCAACGTTGTTGAATTGAGGGAAGCAAAGGGACCGTGCATTGTCTCCTAGGAAGTGTATGAGGAATGGACTCGCGAGAGCATCATGTTAGATGTCACCAAGGGACTATGGTCTCCAAATTGGTCCCCGAACCCTCCACTCTTCCTCTATGTGTTTAAGTGGGCTTTGTGGTGTGGGGGCAGCTAAACGAGGGTTTCACATGCGATAATAACCCTTTTTCTACTACAAACCACGTGGCCACTTCAATTATTCGATCTCCCTTTCTCTCCTGTTCTTAACTCTAAACACTCAATTAATTATGTGGTAATTAATATGCCTAGGCTAATTATAACTCTATCGGGCCTGTTTCATTTGTCGACCTAAGAAAAATCCTAAGATAGGCCAAAATGGTAATTTGGATATGCCCTTTCCAAGATACCAATTCTTACATGTTTGAGCTCATCAATCGACAAACCAATAATTTCCTGCCCCAGAATCAGGTTCTTGATTGCTTATAAACTTAAACACACAAACAGTCCGTGTAATTTACTGATCTCAGTCTGGGTGTGTACATGTCCATCTCATTATTTGGGATTCCCCATAATTCTTTGCTTGTCGTCCCATAGCGAAGCTAGTGACTGTCATAATTATGTGTTCATAAATTGCTTCAATCAGATCATTCTAGCTATAGAGGAGACCTGCATGGTAAGAATGGGGGAGGGGGGCCAATATTTATCGAGCATTTAAGTTGGTTTGACCCTTTATTCTGGAAACATTATTGCCCTGTCATGTTTAGTCGTCGATATTTGTCAGTTTCAATAGTTTTGACATTTTATTCCACTAGTACCATAACACATTAAGAGCATATATGAATATAGGTGTGTTGACTTCTTCCTTTTCCACTTACCCTAAACTAAGAACCTTTTTTTAACGCAAGCTCTTGGTAATTTTGAATTAATTTTAAACTCCTTGAAGGAATTCGGTTTTATTTTATATTGGTGATTTTGATTTTAATTTTATACTCTGCAAATTATCTTTATAAAGATTTCTTTAATGGCTTAAGTTTTTAATATGATTTTTTTATAATATAATATAATATTAAAACTTATATTATAAAATAATCACAAGTTCAGACTAAAATAAAAAATTTAATAATATAAAGTATTCATATATCTAAGAAAATTTTTAAAATTCTTCTAATAACTTAAATTTTTAAATCAAAATAATTCTTTAGTATCTTAAAAGTAATCATAAAATAAAATTAATCAGATTATAGTTGTTAGTTTAGTTTAGTTTAGTTTAATTGATGTAATTATTAAAACTAAATAAAAGAATTAAAAGGAGTATGATTCCGCCTTGGATAATGGATATAACTTGGTGCCTAAGAAGTATTTACAATTTAGTGCTACATCAACTTGGATTAGGCAACATTTTCTAATTGACAATGACATTGAAATTGATTTTATTTTCATTTCTCTAAATTACTTGGTGTCGAGGAGAAGTCATGTCCTCAGTATAAGAAGTTTGCAGAACTCGCACGCCAGCTCAAAGAGTCTGTAGAACCCACGCTAGGCACAAGTAAGAATCCCAAGCTCAGTCTAAGTCAGAGTCAGAATTCTAAGCCTAGTGAAAGTGTTACAGAACCGACGCTGCAGCTTGGTTTATGGATTTTCTCATGTTAATGTACTTGTGTACCTCTTGTATCTAGTTTTATTATGTGCAACTCTTATGTGTAGTTTAGATATTTATGAAAAACACATACGAGGCTGCGTGCATAAGTATCAATAGCTAGGGGCTTGCTGCTATATCGTCATTCTCTATCTTTATTAATTAAAAATATACTAAGTCTGATATTGAAGTTATTCTATAAGAATTACCTTGATGATATGATGTAAATTGTAAGTTTCATGACTTCATTCAACTTGTTTTTAGATTTTTTTAATTAATTTATTTTTATCTTTATTTTTTAATGATGAATTAATTAAAAATTATACTTAATAATTTCTGTTGATATACTTTCAATAAAATTATCATAGTCTCATAATATAGATCGCAGATTTAACATGTTAACTGAGATTGATTCAAGTTAAATTAATATGTTATTATTTTAATATTAAAAAAAATATCATTTTTCAATTTGTTTTAGTTAAGTTATGTATTTACAAGTTATATGAATTGATTTTGAACATGCAAAATCAATTAAGTTAAATCGAATTAACCCTTACATGATTTACTTACATGATTTAAATCGACCTGCAATGTAACATGAGTTAATGATTTAGCATTCTCTAATCACATTAGTAATTAGAGTATGGATTCTTAAAAAGTTATTTCAATCTAAAAACTTTAATTACTATGTAAAATTTTAAAATATGATTTATATTATTTTCTAACATACTTTCTCAGGTAAAAGTTTTTGTTATTTTGAAACTTGTATAGAGTTATACTATTTTTTTGTACTATTAATTAATTTTAATTAAAAAAATAAAAATAATAAAATTTAAATTTATGACTGTCTAGTCAATCAGATTTTAAAATAATATCAAAAAATTATTTAGATAAAAATATAAAATTTAAGTTTTTAAATGAGATATAATATCAAATCTTTTTAAGTTTTTATAGCAGTAGTCGTTTTCAACTCTATATATTATTATTTTTATTGTTTATTTATTCTATATAGGATTGATAATTCTAACACTCTTGTTTACTTGCAGTATATTCTTGAAGTAGTCAAGTGAAATGAACTTGAGATAGCTCTGCTATTATATTAAAATATAATAGTTGAGTTTAGATGTGTTAGAATGATCCGTCAAAGATTACAAATTAAAAATACTAGTCATCTATAAATTAACCTTATTTTTACTTAAGAATTAGCATGTAATTATTATGTAACCTGGAAATCTTAAAGGCATATGTTAATAAAGATGTGCAGTCTCTGTATTAAACGCTGAATCTGTAACTTTGTCTGCTATTTTTTATTTTTCTTCTTCGTTCTTATATTTTTCTAGCTTATTCTAGATGCTTGATTTTAACATAACGGTATGAAACAAACTTAATTGTGAAATAATCTAAATAGGTAAATTATAAGTATTGGAGTTATTTTCACAACAAAAATGGCACCTACCGAGAAGAAAAAAGAGAAAGACCTAGCAGACGAAAGGGTCCCCATTCATTAAGCAACTACCAACCACACATCATATGCAGTCCTAGCTAGAGGCTGCTTCCAAGTAGTTTCAAGTTTCAACATTCCATTGATGACTCATCCACCTTAATGCTAGAACTTGAAGAAAGATTAAGAAAGTTATTTGATGATGATGAGCATGAGCTGTCCCTCACTTCACTTGACTACAATGGTGAAACAAAGCAAAGAAATATATCATATCCTAAAAAAGAGAGAGAAAAGTCCTCTAAATCTGCAGCTGATCACCACTACCACCACCACCATCTCACCTACCTCCCTAGCTTTGCCTTCCATATTTCATGCAGAGGCCGTACGACAAAGTAAAACTCTTAATATTTTTTTCCCTTTTGTTTTTGTTACAAAACACTCAATCAATGACATTCAATCCCTTACTTTTAACTCTTCCTTTTGACATTGAGTTTTTTAATACTAGTCCTAGCTAGGATCATATGACCATGACCAAAAAATATTGCTAGTGGGGGATGGTCAGAAATCAGGTAGCCGAAAAACTAAGTGCCGAAGATGGTTGGAATTAAATTGTTGCCAAATGCCAATAATTGCTTGAATTCGATGTTTTTTCGAATCTTTACCATACCCAGCTTGTAAAAACACACAATCTCATTAATTACCTCCTTCCCTTTATTTGTCACGCAACAAAGATTTATAACGAAACAATCCATTTTATCAGTCTCCACCGTCCATGCTTGATAGCTATATATCCTGAACAATGTAGGCATTTTACTCAAAATTGATGCTGGTTCAATGATTTGGGTCACTAAGTATATATGGGATAGTTGGGAATCAAGTTCAACTGTTTCGTTCAAGGGAATAGGGCAAGCTTTTCTTCACATTTCACATTGTTAACTAGGATTCATTGTTTTCTTTGCCATCTAGCTGGTTATAATATAATCGACTATTATAAAAATAAATAAATAAAGATTTATTAACATATTTATTTAGTGAGTAGTAACTAAGAGATTGAACCGACGGTCTAGCTACTTACCGTTTCTAGAGGCCGACTGACCATACTAGTTGCTAGCAAATCACTCCATCTTTCTAATTGTGTTACAACCTACACAACATGATGCCGACTAATTTCTTTCCATTAGAGACTAAAGGTTTGGCTTCAAATCAAAAGGTTGTGTTGTATGTAATATATACATCTATATGGCACTACGGATTAAAATTAAGCAGAAACAAAATGGGCCGATTTGAGTGCTAAAGAGGGAGAATGTGGCCGACATGGTTTGATAGGGCGAGGAGGCACATGGACCCTCGGTGGCACTATCTAGAGTTCAAGTTACCGTGGGTCACTTTGAGCCATTTTCTATAAGATTTCCTGTCGGTGTATAGCATTTGAACAACAATACCGCTACACTACTTGTATGTACAATCCTCTTTCCTTCTCTTAAACCTTGGTTCTTAGTTTTCTACTCCCGTATCTAAAAAAAAAAACATTTAGCTACATATAGCCCCACGCGATCTTGCATTTGGTGGATCACACTTTCAATCTAAAGGGGTATGGTATAAGGGCAACACTACCAGATTCGAGCACAGGAATGTGTGATGTCTTGTGGTACGGTGCAGCGCGTCGAATTAACATATGTTTGGTGTCCTGAGTAATTAATTATTAAGCATAAGAAATCCTGTCTCTGTGGTCAAAATAGTCTGAGTGATCTGTCTTTAATTGAACTTCTCTTAATAAGCCACTATATATATGCTAGCTACATTGATATGCAATTCATAATTCCTTCTTCCAAATCATATATTCCAATCCAAATAATTCTTCTTCCATTTCTTATCTCTTGTGCTTTTCTTGTCTAGAAAATTCCTTCTTGCTAGCTACTTGTATAGTCTGTTTCTTTCTTTTGCTAATATTCGAAGCTCTTTAGCTTGAAAACAACTTGTTCAATAGATAAACAAAATGAAGTTGTTGTCTAGAAAAGCCACGTGTAATACTCATGGCCAAGATTCCTCTTACTTCCTAGGATGGCAGGAATACGAGAAGAACCCATACGATGAGATCAAGAATCCAACAGGCATCATTCAGATGGGTCTTGCAGAGAATCAGGTTACAAAAACACACTACAGATGGGTCTTGCAGAGAATCAGGTTACACACTAAAAAATGTTTCATCTATCATCTATTTTGGTCCGTTAGATGGTAAGGTCTGGAATAGAGTAGAAAAACATACTCAAAATGATTCTTCTATCATCTATTTTGGTCCGTTAGATGGTAAGGTCTGGAATAGAGTAGAAAAACATACTCAAAATGATTCTTCTATCATCTATTTTGGTCCCTTAGGTGGTAAGGTCTGGAATACAGCTTCAGGCCTGTCATTCTATCCCTGTTTTTATTACAGAGATGTTACATACTGCCAATTATAACTGTTTATTTGCTTCCTGTGTCCTTGTTGTCGATAATCCTATGGAGTATATATTGGAATAATTACAGGTAGCTTACGTTCCATTAGCTATTTTTTGCAGCTCTCTTTTGATCTTCTTGAGTCATGGCTTGGTAATAACCAGGACGCAGCTGGGTTCAAAAAAGATGGGCAATCCATATTTAGAGAGCTTGCTCTTTTCCAAGATTATCATGGGCTTCCGGCGTTCAAGAAAGTAAGTTCATTATTGCTTGCTTTTTTAGGTCACACACGCACACATATACGTTGACGAATGATTTATGTATCTAACTAATAACCTTGGCTCCAATATTTTTTTCTTTACAGGCAATGGTGGAATTCATGGCTGAAATAAGAGGCAACAAAGTAACCTTTGATCAAAACAAAATAGTACTCACTGCTGGTGCAACTTCGGCTAATGAGACACTCATGTTCTGCCTTGCCGAACCCGGGGAGGCCTTTCTTCTTCCCACTCCATACTACCCGGGGTAAGCATATGATCTATATACTTTATCATCCTATATACTTTCACTGTTATTACTTACATTTCTACAATATTAATTGGTTATTTAATTATTCTTGCAGATTTGATAGAGATCTCAAGTGGAGAACTGGGGTTGAGATTGTACCAATTCAGTGTACAAGTTCAAATGGCTTCCAAATCACTGCACCAGCCCTTGAAGAAGCCTTTCAGGAAGCCCAAAAAAGAAACCTAAGGGTTAAGGGTGTCTTGGTCACAAACCCGTCAAACCCTTTGGGGACTACAATAACCCGCAGTGAATTGAATCTTCTTTTAAGCTTGATCACCGAAAAGGGCATTCATCTAATAAGCGATGAAATTTATTCAGGCACAGTTTTTAACTCTCCAGGGTTTGTAAGTGTCATGGAGGTTTTGAAGGATATGAAATGTGAAAGCTCTCAAGTTTGGAATAGCGTTCATGTTGTGTATAGTCTATCAAAGGATCTTGGTCTCCCTGGCTTTAGAGTTGGTGCAATTTACTCCAACGATGACATGGTTGTATCAGCAGCAACTAAAATGTCCAGCTTCGGTCTAGTGTCTTCTCAAACTCAATATCTTCTTGCTGCTTTGCTCTCTGATAAAAAGTTCACGAGGAATTATATCTCTGAGAATCAAAAGAGGCTTAAACAACGTCAAAAATTGCTCGTCAAGGGCCTTGAAAAGGCAGGAATCAGCTGCCTAAAGAGCAATGCAGGCTTGTTTTGTTGGGTTAACATGAAGCATCTCTTGAGTTCTAAAACGTTTGACGCAGAAATGGAGCTTTGGAAAAAGATTGTTCATCAAGTTAAGCTCAATATCTCTCCTGGTTCTTCTTGCCATTGCACCGAGCCAGGTTGGTTTCGAGTATGCTTTGCTAACATGTCTGAAGAAACACTACACCTTGCTATCCAACGATTGAAGTCATTTGTGGAGTCCATGAACATTAATAATCAAATCCATCACCAACTGCTGAAAAACTCAAGAAGACTGTCCCTCACCAAGTGGGTCTTACGGCTATCCTTTGATCATGACCGTGAGCCTGAGGAACGATAGCCAGGTAATTGTGTGATCAAGTGTGAACATTAAAAAAAATTCACCAAAATTTTGTTTTGGTTAATAAGAGATTTTTTTTCTTTTCTTCATTTGTATAAAGTACATACACTCTACCACTGCGTGGATTTGGAGTGGCTCGATCTGAACTAGCTAGATTTCTTTTGTAAAACTTTGTGTTTATTCCCACCCGCCCCTTCCATAAAATTCTTCGAATCAAGAATATCATGATCAATGTTATTAATTATGAGTTATATATCTAACATAATGAAAAAAACAAAAAAAAAAAGTTGTCTTCTTACTCCTCCTCCTCCTTGTGAATAATTATGACATGATTGACTCATTTACATAATGTTTGTTTTTCTCTCAAAATAAGAAAACTAGAGTCAGTGAAAATAAAAATAAAAACATGTTTCGTATTTTTTATTTTTAAAATACATAAATTTACGTAAAAATTATTCAATAATTATAAATTCATTTAGTGTCTGTGTTATATATTTTCAACCAAAGTCATTCGTATCTATTCTATACATCTCATTTATATCCTAAACCAGTAATCAATTGCAAACTCGAATATTTATTAGTATGTTTGATCACTACATTTGCAAATTACTTTACTTGCAACAAACAACAAGCTAACAAATAATGGCTGGCAGCGTATTGGTGGATAGAGACGGGTGACGTTTGTTGCCGACCTTGTTGTAGTCGGCCTCCATTAAATGCGTCTCCAGTGGCCATGAGCATTGCATATACACACCAATTTTTTTATACACTACTCGATCTTGACGTTGTTTAAGCCGTTTGAGCAGGGAATTAACATTAATTCTAGCTACGATTAGTGCATTAAATCAAAATGAAATTAATCTGTGCACTATATGTATAGGACTGGGACACTGGGAGATGTGTTTGTGTGGTTCAAAAGGCCAATGAGTCAAAAGGGGGGATCGAAATGTTTGTTTTATGTAAGGAATTATAAGCTAGGGTTTCCAAATGAAAAATAAACTCGAAAGAGTCCCCCCGCTCTTCTCTTAGCTTCAACCATAAGGCGTGTAAAGTAAAGGCAACAAGTGTCCGGCAAGATTGATTCAATGCAAAGTTGTCACTATTTACGCAAACAATATTTGTCAGGGAGAGTTTCTTGAAAACATTTCATTGCCTTTTTAGATGTATGCTCTCTAGGATCAATCAAGAGTGCTTGCTTTTTTAGAAAAGTTTGTTTCCTAAAGCTACGCGGCTACGCATCTTATTCAACCCCATTACAATATTTGTCTCCCAAAAGACCAAACTTTAGGAAACAAAACATGCCTATGTATAAAAGTATAATCTAAAAGCTTTGTTTATACAAGAAAATAAAGAGAATTAATGTCCTTCCTTTCTCAATAATGTTTGGTTGGAGATTTTCTCTCTAATCATGTTGCTTTACACCACCAAATTTAAAAAATTTAGGGACAAAATTTTTCATTGATATTTATACTAACAGTTTATTTGTGATTATTTTACTAACGGGATCATAAATGATAAATCTATTATTAATAAATTTACCTATGGCTTCACAGACAGATCATGCACGCCAAAACAAAATTATTCACTTTATTTTGTCAGTAATTCCATAAACACTATTTAACATATCACCGATAAAAGAACCATATTTAATTTTGTTAGTGAGTTTATAATTATAATGATATTTATAGTAATTATTTTTCAACTTTCTAGTATATATTGATAGACTAATTTGGTTGATGAGTTAACAGTAGTATTGGCGTTTATTTTAATTTTTTTCTGACTTTTTGGAATATACCGATGAAATAAATCTGTCGATAACTCCATCAATAATAATTTTTAAATATTTTTTAAAAAATAATCCATTAAACATAATTAAAAAATTAAATTAATATAAAATTTAAATATTTAAAAATAAATTATATTAATATAAAAATTAAATATTTATTATAAATTTAAACATTTGTATGTATAAATATAATAAAATTAAAATAGACATGACACTAAAGAAAGAGGCTGCTCGTTTTCAGGATTGTGGGGCCAATAAAATAATGTATTTGTACCACTCATATATGATTTTATCTTTATTATAACTCGATAGAGTTCTTCATAATTCACATAAAGTTATTTATATTTTTCATTGAGATAGGTCATTTTTCAAACATGGATTTGTATGGTATGTACTTTAACTAGCATGAGTTTTTTTGAAAAAATACAAGTTAAAATAAAAATCTTCATAGCAAACAATAAAACATCATAACATCTTCGATAGTTTATATGTAACATGCCTTGGTTGTTTGCACTGCTCTATTTGCAAACTGCATCCTCCTCGTCACCTCTAGCTTTATTTGCACTGCTATATTCTCTATAATGATTAATATTTAAAAAATTGTGTTTCATCATCATTGTCAAAGTTGATATCAAAGGCAATTGAATACATGCATGGACTTTGCTTCCGGTGCTGGGGCAGCACGAAAAACTCTCCTTTTGGTATCTGATAATTTCATCCAAAAGCTCAAAAGAGGACATTGAGTCTTAATGGAAAATTTTCTACTCACTTTATCGAGTACTGATCAAGTATAGTAATTATCTCTGAAAAAAAAATACCGTTATATATTTAATAACATATAATATAGACCTCACCCCACCGGCTCTCAGATGTATTATGCACCTCATGTTGTCATTAAACTTGACTCTGTTGCTTGTTCATGAAGTTTAACAAAGGCACAAAGCCCGTTTCCACGTGCTATGTGGGAGCGACAATCGATCACCTCCCTGATAAAGAAAAAAAGACAGAGAGAAAGAAAAAAAAAAAGAAGCAAATTAATAATTGAAGTTCCAATTTATTTTATATATATAAAAAAAAAATTGCAACTTCAATTATTAATTTGCTTATATATATATATCAAAATTTAATAATTTAAAATAATTAGAATTCTTTTTGGCTTTTCCAAGATATGCGGCGAATGCCCGTAAGAACTACCCACCCATGATCTTTGCATGTGACGAGGAGTCTGGTACATGTAACTCCCAATTGTGGTCAGAGATTAATAAAAATAATAAACAGACTAATTAATTAGTAAAGTATAACAAGAAAATAAAAATTTTGGTCGATTTATGTGTTCTTGTTGACTATAAGCATAGCATGTGCCCTAGACTTTTTTGGGTTTTCGCTTTTTCATTTACATATAATAGTAATTATTATTATTAGTTTGGAGGTCATAAGTAAATATAATTGGGATTGATGTAATAATAATTAAAAAAAAAGGATAATGTAGTAGCTACGGATCATGTTCAATGCTAATTGATATTAAATTATGATTTTCTGGTTTGATTAATTTATTATTAATTGAAAAGTCAACGTGATTTCTATTAATTCCTTTTTCTTTTAACTTGTCTCATGAGATTCTGAAAGGTAAATGAGCTATAAACAAATGCTCATATAGTCTTTGAGTTGAGCTATACACAATAATGGTAAATTTAATATTAGTTATTTAGGAGTTGCTATTTGCCAAGTTTATTAAAATCGATCAAATTCTAGGGGTTGATTCAAGACTTCACCTGATCAAATTTAAAAAAATCTTGGAAATTAACATGACTAAAGTCTGAGTTGACTTATAATCAAACTGACTACAACAAAAAATTTAAAATGATATTCTTTTAAGTTAAAAAAATTAAAATAATATTATTTTTATTTACCTAGGTCATCCAGAATTAATATAAAGAGGCCGAGTTTTATTACTATATTATATACAATGCTCAAATGAAAATTAGTTTCCCTTAGATAAGCTTACAAAGAATGTGTAGCAACAAAGATTAATCAGCACCTTTTAGCTTGATAAAAACAGGCACGAAAGATCAGTAAGGCTTGAGTCAGCAAACAGCTAGTTTATTGGCTTTATTCTTGAAAACCACAACAAAAAATTTGGACATGAAAAGAACTGATTAAGAAGGCTTGTGTCTATAATCACTGGGACACAAACATCACAATTAGACATTAACCACCGCCAAATGTTTACATTTACTAATAATGAAGGGACAATGACAAGAAAGCCTTCGCCTTAATGTTTTGCCCAAAAATAATCAATCAATTATCGATCGGCATTGGACAAATTAAACCTTGAATGTAGTTATGGTTATTTTCATTAATATTATTGTGATTAGTCACTAATTACACCATCTACAAAGTTAAGTAAAAGTAGCTAAAAGGTATTTATGACATGCATGGTTATTAAACTAACACCTGTGGATGAATCCATGATTTTTTTAATTTAGAAATACTTGATCTGAATTGGGTTTATTTTAAATGATTTTTTACTAAAATAACATCATTTTATTAATGATAAAGTCTGAAAACTCCAAATGGTTTAAAAATAGAGTTTTTAAATTGGATAATTAGTTAATTAATTAGTTAAAATAATATCATTTTTTTCTTCCTAATTAAGGTAGCTTCTAACTAAATACCTATTAAAGTATCTTTTTAAATTAAAAAAATATAATAATATTATAGAAATACATCTTTTGAATATATATATATATATATAGAAAGAAAAAGTACAGAATGAAAATTATAAATATTTATTCTGAAGATCTGAAGGTCTCAAGATGTATTTGTAAATCATTAGTTTTATTTTTTTATGTAGAAAAATGATTGAAGTGTAATTTTATTTTTTGTGATATTTTAAGTTGTATTGTAAACTATATTTTATTTATTTTATCTTGCTAAAAGATGAAGACATAATAAATCATAAAAAATTTTAATATATTTAATAATATTGATGGAGTGTAAACTTATTTAATTAAGTATATTTATTAAGAAGTAATTCTTCTATGGTTTTATATAAAAATTAATAAAATTTAATAATATTATATTTGAATCTATAAATATAATGAATTTAATCATAATTAAGATATGATAGTAAATATCTTTAAAAGGTCGTAAGTTAAGCAGCACAAGGCCAAGCTGCTAAATCTAGTGGTAACAATTGAATTAATTTTTTTAAAATATTTTTTATTTAAAAATATATTAAATAAATATTAAAATAATTAAAAACACTAAAAATATTAATTTCAAGTAAAATAAAATAATTTTTAAAAAATATATATAAAAAATTAAATTGCCGATTGGAGTCCATTAGTGACCAAAAGTCTTGCTTTTAACTAGGTTGTTGTCAGCTGAAGGGCCGCTATGAGACGACAAATTTGATT